ATTACCTATAAAACTTTGCTTCGTCAACAATTTAGCTCATAAATGATATGGGAAAGACTTAGGCTTCTTTGAAATGCACTTTTTCCTCATGAAGCAATGAAACTCGTGGCAGCGAAAGCTGGAAACTATATGAGCTTGCCTTACCATTAGGCCAGATGGCAAAATAGTCATCCATATATCTAACCCGTAATTTGGGGGTTAGTATTGCTTCTTCCGATAAGCGTTCCTCAACTTTGCTTATGTAGTTGTTCGTCAAGATGGGCTAAACAAACTCGCATCGCAAGTCATTGCGTTTATTCGTAAAACTTACGGTTAAAGGTAAGTGCTACTCATGAATAGATTAAGGAGTCCAAGTATATAAACTATACTCAACCTTATTCCTTGTGTAATCTTGCTATGCTCCTACAGAGTTTACGCTAAAGTCTGAATAGCTCCTTGAACAGAAATATTTGTGTACATAGCCGCAACATTGAAATGTATTAGACTATCTTCATCTGAACCAATTTTATAAATTTATAAGAATTTTCAACTTACCATAGCCAAAAATTAACAGCTCTTCACAATTGTATGCACAAGAACGTGAGATTTTATGCATAACTCTTCCTTTATTATTTACAATTAATCTCTATGAATCTGTACTGAGCTTTCTTTTGGCCTATTAAAGGCATCGTCAATCCAGAATTCACAGTTTAAGGAGAAATTCACATAAATTTTAAGTCAAGAAAATTGGCCGGCTGCAATTCTGCCTACTTTTAATATCTAATGCTGCGATCTTAATGAGGCCTACCTTGGGTATCTGCAGATGAGTGGAGTTGATGCCTGAAATCATTTGAACGAGACTTGGCTATTCAGGCCTCATTAACCTGTCTCATTATTCTCTCTCTCTCTCTCTTCAACTCTATCCGATAGCAAGCAGTTGTTACTTAATTTTTTACACTTGTTTAGATCCATCGACTCTAATCTTGGTTATTTAGAAAAATGCTAGTTAATTTAAGTGATATTGATACTTATATTCCTTTGGTGAGGAATCCAACCAACAGACTTAAGACATACATTCTCGCCTTTAGTTATGAGTACTTATAAGATGTAAGATAGAGCCGGACAGTCTTCTTGACCTGGTTTTAACATGAGACATTTACAGGAATGAGCGTCAACTCTGATGATGTCTGCCATACGATGGACGAAAGTTTAGTCTATTTTCATCAGAAACGAAGAAGTATCTCCCGTATACTGCGTCAACCTGAACATCCCGTTAAGGCCAAAGGGCTGAAGTACAACGGAAATT